GTTTCCATGCGATCCTCTTGCCGAAACAGAAGTTCGATCTTGCATTCGAGCTTTGAAGCGAGAAAAGGCAACAGGACCGGACGAGTTCCCTCCCATTCCTTTCAAGATGGACGGTGATAACTTCCTAGGCTGTATTACTACCTTACTGTGCAATATTTGGATGCAAGAGCGCATTCCTTCATCTTGTGGCGAATCACTGATTGTTCTCATTTTCAAAAAAGGATCCCGCAACGGTTGCGAAAACCACCGCGGGATAAGTTTGATCCCGATCTTCACCAAAGTGCTATACTTCGACGTCTGATTCCTTTAAGAGAGAACAACATCCGTGAACAGTAAGTCAGATTCCGCTCTGGCCGTAGGTGTATTGACCGAATTTTCACGTTGAGTCACACCTACCGTCAACCAACGACCGCAGCGTTTCTGGACCTGAAAGAAGCCTTCTACTCGGCTGACCGCGAAGCACTGATGGGTTCCCTTCTTCAAAAAGGAATGCCCCAGAAGTACGTTAGCTGGAGTCACTGTACTCCCACACCTCTTGGCGAGTGACGGTTTATAACGAATTAACTAGGCCATTCGTCAAGGGTACCCTATTTCGCCGTAGAACGCAGCGGACTACAAAACATAGGCATTGAATGGGTAGCTAGAGAAAAACTGTGCGATTTAGAGTACGCCGATGACATCGTCTGTCTGTTCAAATATATGCAGGATGCGCAAAGCACACTTGATAGAATAACAAGTGCGGTTGCCACATTCGGCATGTGCTTTGCGCTTTCAAAGTGCAAAATGTTGCTGCAGGATTGGACGTCGCCTACTCCCGCTCGGAAACTAAACGGACAGGAATTGGTTATGGTGGATTACTTTACCTACTTAGGTAGTTGCGTGACCAATGACGGTGGCGCAGAAAGAGATAAACGCCAGCATTTCCATAACTCGCGCAGCATAAGCGTGGACGCGACATTGCACTGAAGTTGAAAGGTCGTGTATAATGTGCTAGCGTTCGTTCAGTCCTGCTTTATGGTTGTGAGACCCTGAATTTGCGAGTAGAAGATATCAGTTGACTAGAGGTTTACGAATATCGATGTTTACGTAGTTTTGCCCCCGTGGGATGGAGCGAACGGGTTAGTAATCTGGCGGTAAGCCGTCGTGTGTTTGGGAGTCTATCAGGTTTGAACCTGCTAGCACACCAAATTCAGATTACTAGGCTTCGGTGGCTAGGGCACGTATTGCGTATGCCCAGCCTTTGTCTGCCGCACCGCGGTTCATTCGCTGTAGCTAACCCGGACTGGAGGAAACTACGTGGAAGCCAACAGATGACGTGAAAACGAGGTAAGAAAGGCACAGAGCCATTGGATAGAGTAGGTGCCTCACACCTTCCAGGTTGGGGTCCGAAAGACTCCACAACCGGTTGGTGGGAGACATTGAAGGATAGGGCGGCGAACCGGCAGCAGTGGCATCTTGTTGTTGTTTCTTATCAGATCAGAATGCATGAAATGGTATGTAGGCAGAGTTCGATTATTCACTCTGTGTGGACCATAGAGGTTCACTGTTTTCTCCCTCTCTCAAAATAGGTCCAAACCTTGTCCACCTCAATTTTTACCACTAACCTTGTATGTTTTGCGGGTTTGGCAGCGGTCAGTGAAGTTCACTTCACTGCATTTCGCTGTACGATGATGGTGATACTCTGAACCAGGTAGAAACGGCCCTAGCTTTTAAGTTCACGCTGTTTTTTACCGCACGCGAGAAAATCCCCTATATAACGCCGGGATATTGGGGCAATTCATTATTATTATCAATTCACCCACCTCACTATAGCTCGCTGCTGTTGATTCTAACTCTCAATTCGTCTTTTGTGTACACTGATGATCAGCATGGTGAAAACTATTTCCCTCTCTGTATCTATGGCAGTATTTAGCTCAACAAGAGACTTTGGTATTTCGATATACTCGCCCGACTGACAATCCCTAAAGTTAGTTCGAGATCCCAAATACAAGCAGGTCAAAGCAAAAGTCGGATTTCGAACGAAAGCAACCTTACTTTTGCGATGGGGGGGAGTCTATTGTTCNNCTATTGTTCCATTGAAAGGATGCTTCGTTCAACCAACCACGTTGTTGTGAACGACAACATGAAATGAACAAGTGCCATTTCACGGATTGTAGTACTTCGGCACCGTATAGGATGGCCGGACGGCTCATACAAGTGCACCTCACACCTGAATTCTGTCGTTATACTGCGCACGAAATACGAACATTACGCCAATCACAACGTAAATTGCTCGATTCGCGCAGATGAGCCTTTTTGCGTCACGCCCTCCGATCGGTGCATGTAACGAATGTATTTTAAAACCAAAGTGATTTGCACCGGATTCAATGATGATACATACCAAGCACTTGCTTCATCGTAAAGATCTTGTGCAGGTATTTAACCAACTACAAGCTGTTCTTTCCTTCGTCAAAGTGCTAATTCATTCATTTCAACTGGGCTGAGACGATCAATGCTGTTGGGTTGCAACAGGAAGACAGGTTTAATTCTCTCTGTTCTTCGACAGATCTATGGTAATGACATAACGGTGCAGTTAGATAATCTGGTGAATACAAGAAAACGTAAATGAGCGACTCCGGTAAACTGTCATCGCGTGCAGCGGTGATGAACAGCCGAAACTATAAGCTGACTCATCATATCTAGCAATGCGTCAAATATTTATCAATGGGCTACAAGAACGGTACTCATCCGGCCATTTGAGGTTTTCATTACTATTGTTATGGCGTTGGCACCAGATATATATATATATATATATATCAAGTGTGGAACGTGGAAGATTCGTGCTTCAGTAGCCTTGCTGTATCCCATTCTGACATTTTAGTACCTTCATAACTCAGGCTGGGTGGGGTCCTACTGTCCGCTTTCGCCACCTTTAGTCGGCTTTACATCCCCATTGCCCTTCAACTTTAACACAAAGGATGTTCTAAAGAATGCTTCGTTTGGTTTAGAAAACGGCCGAGTTGAACTCCTCTCAGAAAACCTAGTTGTTGACTTATAACTTGACGATGGCATCGCCTTGCCTAGTGACAATACACATGCAATTCAAAACGCTTTAAAGGGCTTGGAGATCAAGGTATCCAGGTATGGGATTTGTTTGCATCATCCAAGTGCAAAGTGCGTGTTCAAGATCGGTGGAAGAGTGTGCATACATCCGTACTCAGCTGGATGTAGTTAAGAGCTTTAAGTAACTCGGGAGCTGGGCATGATGTTGGGAAGAGAGTACATCAGGAAAAGCTGTGGTAAATTTTCTTACACGCGACACCTGTGGTGCTGCTATCATATTCGACTTTTCCTTAACAGAATGGTGTACACTGCTGCGGTTCGTATTGCTTCACTTCAGGGATGCGAGACCTAACCCCTCCATGCTCATCATGGCTATCGACTTACTGCATTCAACAATCCACGTCTTTGAAGCACTACTCGTGTCTAGTGGAAACATCGGGAGAGCAATGACGAGGTTTGTCATTGTGTTGGGTGCTTACAGTCGTTCTCGAAAACAAGCAATAGCTCCATAACGCGTCCGATGGCTCGGTCATGTTTTGTGTATTCTTACCGATCGTCCTGTCCTCTTTGAACGTACTGGACAGACCTTGCGTAATGGTTGTAGTACGTAGCGATCACGAGATACGAAATCGCGGACACCACATAAACCGTGAATCACACTGGGAATAGGACAGTACCCCACGTGACCGAGACCCGAGGATAACAGTTCATCTAGTGAAAGAAATCAGAAGTTTAAATCATACGTACAAAAAAGTTTATTTGTCATCCCAGCCTCTGCCAATCACGTCCTAGTATTTCTGGCGTCATTAGGCTTCCGTCTGGGCAGTACGGTTTCTGATTGGTTGATACAATTGATCTCAAGTTTGCAGTCCAGAAGCTGTGAGACGTATGCGTTTTGCTGACGTCATCTGAGAAGCTTGATTGATCACAGTTATCCAAAAGCTGTAACGTATCGCTCCATGCACCATCTCGTTGGCCAGGATCATCACACCTTGATCTGGTGTAAGATACAAAGGAGTTAGCTTCAGTATTGGTTTTCGTTAATGCATTCCTCCCTCCAAGCTAGGATCGAAGGAACGAGGATAGACGCTGAGATATGACCCAGAATAGCAGCCAGAAGTACGAACGCCGTACGCTGTCTAATGATATATATATATATATATATATATATATATATATATATAT